TTAATTAATCATTCAATTCCTCATTTTTTTTAGAAAACCTAAGCGAAGCTAGGCAGTATGCCTAGTTGTAAATAAAACATGTAAAGTACTAAAATTTTTTTCATAAAAAACGTTTTAATAACAATCTTTTATGTAATGATGCACTAAAAAGTAGAAAATAAATTATACACTACTATTTAAAATACTATAAAGAAAAGCTTGGGTCTCTTCTCAAATATTAGTAAAGGTATCCAATAGGTACTAAAGTACTAAAGTGACCCAAGCTTTTCTTTATAGTTATTTAAATAGTAGTGAATAATTTATTTTCTATTTTTAGTGCATCATTACATAAAAGCTTGTTATTAAAACGTTTTTTATGAAATTTTTCTTTATAAATGTCTGGATGAAAAACGTCTATATAAACCACAGTGTTTCTACCAGACTTTTTTCTCCGGAGCGGGGGGGGGGGGGGGGGCAATTGAAATTTTCGGGGGAGGGGGGGCGGGGTCTAAAATTTCCAGGGGTGTGGACACTGTTAAAAGTATATTTTTTCTATATAAATCAATTTTGTGGGGGGGGGGGGGGGGTGGGGGGCGGTAGATATTCTTCGGAGAGGTAGGCGGAGCCCCCCCCCCCACCTCCCCCGAAGAGATGCCTTTAAGAAACTCTGGCAATAAACAATAGAAAAATCATAAACATAGTGAAAGATAATTATTCATTTATAAATAGGCCTATATTTCTTTTTTTTAACTAACAGACTAGAATATTGGTATTTCGCAGTTTAAGACTTTATTTTTACATTGTATTAACAGCTGATCGATATTAGAGAAGCTCGCTTTATATTTGAAAGTAGCTATATCTATTTCATAAAATAAACATTGCAATATGAAGAAGAGAGATAAACTGAAGTGTTGACGTCATTTTTGGTGGGTCTTATAACGGTGTGAAGATTCGGGGGTGGGGGGGGGGAGTGGGGATCCAGACAAAAGTGTTACGTTTTTGTTTATGGATGGCCCTAAAATCTATATCGATCTCTTCCGTAGTTCGTATAACATAATTTTAACTAAGGTAGATCTTTTTAAAGAACTGATTTGTACATTTTGAAATAGATCTAGCTATAGATCTATAACGTTACATGAATGCTTTAAAAGAGGGTACGTTTAACCCTCACCGACAGCTCGCGAAAAAGCCGACTCCTGACTTGGCCTCAACATAGACGTAATGAAGAACGCGTTCGTGCCAATAGCCCCAACCTGATTTTAGGTAACTTTCATTTTATGGGGGTCTCTGCGTGAAGGGAGAGGGAGGGAGGCTCTAATCTATCACCTTATGAAATAAGTGTTTTCTATAATGTGCCGGAAAAAAAAAACATAACGCAACGAATAAAATTTCTGACAGTTAAAGGGTAAAGGATATCATTATATTTTCTTCTAGCAAATATATTTTTTTTAATTATGACATTTTATTATTAATCTTACAAAGTAGACCTACTGAATAAAGGTAAACAGAATCCAGTCTTCTTCCTTTTGTTAAGACACACAGTTCTGAACAATTAGCCTATCTGTTGTAAATCCATGTCACTGTTTTTACAACCCATTTATCTGTAAACCTTTATTGATCATCGCTGTGTGGAAGGGAAAAAGAAGAAGCATCCTTAGTTAGGCGCCCGTAGTATGTCCTCATAACGGACAAAATATCTAGTTAATAAAGTACTGTCAGCTGATGGGATGTGATAAGCTACCATTTTTAATTTTTCGTAAATGCAAAGTATCTCTTTTTCGTAATTGCAAAGTACTTTCCAGAGTCTAAAAAATATAGTTTTGCAATATTGTCCGTATATCTGTAAGTGTGTCTGTGTGTGTATGCGTGTTTGTGCCTGCAAACACGATAACTTGAGTACCGTTACAGCTAGATTGATACAATTTTATATATAAATATTATATTAAAATTGTAGATTTGTATCAACTTTTAAACGATTTCCGATCACCGGAAGAAGAACTTTTTCTACTTTCAATTTTTCCAAAAGCCCATAACTAGAGTACTATTTCAGATTGATAAGTAAAATTGAACAAATAAGTTAAAGATTTAATTCTCTGCCTTTAGTCAAATTTTGATAAATTTCCATTGACCGGAAGTAGTAATGTTCGCTTTTCCGATTTCTCAAAAAACGCATGTGAATTTATAAAGTACTAATAATATTCCGCACTATTATACACATTTGTTTTGCGTTCACTTGATGTGCGATTCTTTTTATTATGATAGCTCAGATTGAATGAGAAACACAGTTCTAAATGCCTTTGCTAAGTTCACATGTAAAAGGCCACTGTAGAAACTCAGGATTAACCTCATTGTCCTAGAAAAAAAAATTAATTATAAAAATGTATCTTTACATGAATAAATTAACGTGTGTATTCCTGTTAATGAATGTAAATAAATAAGCGAGTAGGAACAAATGTTGCCCATCAAATCATGTTAGCAGAGATGTGTTAGTCTTCAAATATCTTTAAATAAAAGATGTAAGTTGACCATAATTAGTTAAAATTTATTATATAGCCTCTAAAGCAGGCAACCCTTATTTTAACTGTAATATCTATATAAAGGTTTAATTTCTTATTAACTCACAGTAAAACATTTTCTTTTAATTTGAAATTTTATTTAACAGATTCGGACGACATACATGTTTTATTTCAGTACCTTTGAAATCTGGTTTTTGTATAGATTTGAATTGTTGTATCTATTTGAAAGGGTGTTACATCATCCACCACTTCATGGTCGACCCCAACAACAAGTAAAGATGATACTGGCCCTCGCTTTTATTTTCTTCTACTTCCGTGATGCCATATTTTCCTGGAGGTGTTTGGTGTACAATCAGGTACAGGTAAGATTTAATAACGTACGCAGCTACTATAATAGCTTCAGCGGAAAGTCTTTTTCTTTACTTTTGAGACTTTTGCGTAGACCGTCTTGTGTTAGTAGGTTTTAAGATTAAGATTTAGCTTTTGAGAGAGTGATTTGCAAGTGATGATAAGACCATTTTTAGAGAGGCGCCTGTTTTGGACAAAAACATAAATCAAGTTTACAAGCAGAAAAATAATGATAGCATCATTGCTGGTTATTTTTATTCCCCAAACCACAATATATGCTCTTTTTTCTTGAACTTGTTGATACTACCATATTGCAAACAAATTTTGACATGTTTTCATATTATGAACTCTTGCAAACTACATGATTTTTTATCGTAAGTCAATCTATATATATAATTTACTTCTTGGACAACGTTAGAAAACAAGTTGTAAGCGCGACTAGCAGTCCCCTCTCTTCCTCTCTAGGCATATCGCAACCTCCCCCACCCCACATGGTCTGGTGAGCTGTGGTTCACGCTAAATGTTTATAATCGTAGAGGCGGGTTTAGTGATGCCTATTAGGGACGGATAATTTAGTTTGAATCTATTTTAAACTTAGGGGAGGTAACTAAGTGGGGGCTTTTTTTCACGGGGGTGGGGGGTGTAGGGTAGTGGTTGGGGTTGGGGGAAAGAAGGGTATCGTCCTTCACAGCCTACTGATAGTATTTTAAAGCAAATATTTTTAGTGGCAGCGTTGATACTGTCGAATTCGCACATTATGAATTACTGAAAAGTAGAAAATAAAACAACTAAATAATGGCGTATGATAAAAAATATCGTAATTAGAGCTAACAGTTACACACTATCGTAAACCACAGTAAACTACCATGTCTCGCAATCAGAAACTGCCATACTCTAATATCTTTAGCCACGATAAACCACCATGTCTCGCAATCAGAACTAGCTATAATCTGATACCGTGAGCTACTCCGAACTTCACTATCTACCAACGGGAACTTGCGAACTCCACGCCCTTCTATTCCAAACTCGGGCGCGTGCTATTTGAAGTTTATTTTTTTTTCGTGCAATATTTGTTTTCATTTTCTCAAGTCATGACATTTATTATCTAATATTGTTCTATTGAAGTTTTGACGCACAGCTACATTTTTTTTCTATTTTGTTACAAAACGTTTACAGAAATTTCTGTCATCAACAAACCGGTACCGAAACTCTCCTTTAACCGTGTCTTTACCTCAAGATCAGTGGCGGCCTTAGGTCGTCACCCCCTGCGGCACCTCATGGTGTCACCTCCACACCTGAGTAAAACACAAAGACAAACACATCACGAAAACATCACGAACACATCACAAACACAAAACAAACACAAACACAACACAAACACAACACAAACGCAACACAAACGCAACACAAACACAAACATAAAAACAACTCAAACACACCACAAACACACCACAAACACACCACAAACACACCACAAACACAACACAAACACAACACAAACACAACACAAACACAACACAAACAAAACACAACACAACACAACACAAACACAAACACAACACAAACACAACATAAACACAACACAAACACAACACAAACACAACACAAACACAAAATAAACATAACACTAACACAACATAAACATAACACAAACACAACACAAACACAAAAAAACGCAACAAAAACGCAACACAACAAAAACACAACACAAACACAACACAAACATACCACAAACACAACTCAAACACACCACAAACACAACACAAACACAAACACAACACAAACACAAACACAACACAACACAAACACAACAGAAACACAACACAAACACAACACAAACACAACACAAACACAACACAAACACAATACAAACGCAAAGGCAGTATTTAAAATAACAGTGTTTACCTACCATATTGCACTGTAGCAATTTCAGCATTTTATTTTCATTAACTCAAATTTAAAATATTTAAAATAGAGTGTCATGATTAAAACCATTGCGCACCTAATTAACATAATAGTGCGGAGTAGTTGCTCAAAAATTATAATTAGTAATTAGTACGTCCAGCGAAAATACTAAGAACAATAAGTCCAAGCATCGTTTTGCTCAAGATTTCAAACTTTATAGAAGAGATGGGAATGTTTACGTTGTATTTACAGCCTCGTTCTGATGCATCCAGATTTGTAAGCAGCCAGGCTGGCAATATCGACCTCTGCATCAAAGGTAAGTACATCTGCAGGTGCCTGTACATGTACATCTGCCGGTACATCTGTTGGCAACAACTACAGGTAATTCTGCAGGTATATATGTACATCTTCTGATACATCTGTTTCTACATCTTTTAGTACATCTGTTGGTACATATGTTTATAAATCTGCCGTTACATCTGTTGGTACATCTGTTGATACATCTTTAAATACATATGTTGGTTCATCTATATGATGGTACATCTATTTGTTGGTACATCTATTTGTAGGCAGTGGCATAGCGAGAGGGAGGGTGTACGGACCGCACCTGATGACACCATTTAGGGGGTGACACCAAGGCAAAAAATAGCAAAATATATAGAGAAAAATGTTAATTCCACTTAATTAAGTGATTAATTCGAGTGTTAAAAAGTCTTTTAAGAGCAAATGTGACAAATCTCGACAAGGGTGGAGGGGGAGGGGTGCAAATCGAAAGTTTGAGGGGAAGGGGGGGTGCATATCGAAAGTTTGAGGGGTTGCAAATCGAAGTTTGGGGGGGGGGCGGTGCTAATCGGAAGTTTGAGGAGGGGGGTGCAAATCGAAAATTGAAAGTTTGTCCCCGGGCGTCGGGAAGGGTCCCTACGCCTCTGGGAGGGTGACACCATTAAGTGTCGCACCGGGTGATACCCAAACTCACAACGCCACTGTTGGTTGGTACATCTATTGGTTGGTACATCTACTTGTTGGAACATCTATTTGTTGGTACATCTTTTTGTTGGTACATCTGTTGGTTCGTCTGTAGTTACATCAGTAGGTACTTGCGAACACTAATTCTTTTTAGCTAAAAACTTTATTTGATACGTTTTCTGTGCGATAAACTGCTATAGTGCAGAAAGAAAACGCAAAAAAAGAAAGAGTCACAGAAAAACATTAAAAACGTTGCGGATTTCGATCCCCAAGTTCAGCGATGTCTACTGGGCACATATAACGATGTATTGTACCGTAGCAAGATAATTTAATTCAAGACAATGCTATATAGTTTACATATTATAAAACTTGTAACAAAACATTTCAAACTCATGTTGATTCTCCCTCCTCCCTCCCTTTCGTAGATTACAGTACCCCTGAGAACGTGATGAAGTATGAAGCGAACGCTCAAGCCATGGAGTACAAAGCACCAGTCTACTGTGTGCAGATGTTGGCTGGCATTTTCGTGCATGCCAAGGAATATGTTCGGGTGTTGGACTTGGCATCTGGCCCTGGTACGTCCCATAGCTGACCAGTAGCTTAAGTGGGTCCTTATTTTCTGGAGTTAGACTTGGCATTTTGTACTGGTAGGTCCCATAGCTGACCAGTAGCTTTAGTGGGGCAGTATGTTCAGGTAGGTCCCACTCCGAGGTGACCAGTAAACCCAGGTGTTAGTCTTGGCTTTTGGTCTGGTAGGTCCCCTAGATGACCAGTTAGTTTGACGGGGCCGTATGTTTGGATTTTAGTCTTGGCATCTCGGCCCTACAAGTCCCTTAGATAACTAGTAGCTTTAAAAGGGATATATTGAATGGCATGATAAAGGGACATGCTACAACGAGTAAAGTTCTCGTTATGTAGTGTTATTCTGAGAAATGATTTTAGAATTCAAATTGCTGAGCTTCGTTTAAAACAAAAAGTGTTATTTAATAACCACATAGTTGAGTAATGTTTTTAATTTTTTTTTTATTAAATACCCAGGGAAATGTATGTTTATATTTTGTGAGAAAAACGTAGTTGAATTTAAAATGCATGATAGAATGCATGATTTAAAATAATTTTGAGACAAAAAATAACTAGAAAAATCATTTGGTATGTTTCTTTAAATGTGTGTGTGCGTATGTGTGCGCGCGCGCGCGCGCGTGTGTGTGTGTGTGTGTGTCGACAATTTGGTTGGTTATTCTGTAGATTAAAATTAATGATAGAGTTTGATAACAAACCCGTAAATCTGAACGTGACATTTGACCCACAGGGCAGGTGGGAGAAGAGCTGTCCAGGCACGGGTTTGAGAACGTTCACGCGCACGACGGCTCGTGCGCCATGCTTGACGTCTGCCGCAGGAAGAAAGTTTACTCCAAGTTTATTTGCAGCGTCATCAATGACGACACAAGACTTCCGGTTAAAAACGGTGAGTTGTTTAGGTGCCAAATTTTAACCAAGGCATTATTCGGTTACGTGTAGAACTGGCTGTGTCTAAGAGCATAATTTCTTCCAGGCATCTCTTCTTCTTTTTCTTCTTCTTCTTCTTCTTCTTCTTCTTCTTCTTCTTCTTCTTCTTTTTCTTCTATCTTCTTCTTTCTTCTTCTTCTTCTTCTTCTTCTTCTTCTGTTTTCTTCTTCTTCTTTGTTCTTCTTCTTCTTTCTTCTTTTTTCTTCTTCCTTCTTCTTCTTTTTGGATTTGTTTTTAACCTTTTGTACAACCCAAAATAAACTACAAGGCAGCATTTTTTTAAATTTTGGAGTATTCTCTCCTAGAAGAGTGGCTGTCGCCAGCTAATGAGCCTCAACTACCGGAGGGTTCGAACTCGAGACGTTTTAATTTGGCATCCCTCAGCTTTACCACCTATTTTTAATGTATTGTTTTATAAAATATTCATTTCTAAACTAATTTCGATACTTTTCTATACTGTTTTAGTAATTTTTATTTTTAAATTATTTACTTTCCCGAAGGTAGATGCATTAGTTCTAACCTTCTGTTCCCATTATATGTACTGCAAAGACATGGAGCATCTACTTCTCCCCCAGGTTTTTATGATGCTGTTGTTACATCCGGGGCAGTCCTGGAAAACCATCTTCCCGTGTCAGCACTTGCAGAAATCATACGTGTTACTAAATCAGGAGGGTGAGTAGGTTTTTGGGTTGACAATTAGCATTTGAATTGTACATGTATTTCGCTTTTTATTCTCTATCCGTTTTTCTTACATTTTATTTGTAAATTTAGTTGGTTTTTTAATTTATTTTTTTTTAAATACAAAAAAAAAAACGTTATTACGCATATGTCAGCGCTCATTATCTAATATATAGAAAAAAGGGCTATCGGAAAATTGCAAAAAAAGTTGCGTATACAGAAAAAAGTGCAAATACAAACTTATATTAATATACAAAATTAAATTAAATAATTATTGAGTCATATTTCGAAGGGAAAAATATGAATATGCTACATGTTACTAGTGAGTTGAAGAAATTTCATATATAAGTATTTCATCAAATTGATAGTTTTCTTTTCACTTTTGAGCGACTGCGGAAAGCGGAAGTGGTAATGTATTCTATTTCCATGGTACACTAAAACTTTTAGTTATGTAGGCAAAATTCCATACATAAGTAAAATTTAATACTTGAATTACTCTCAGATTTTGAGTGACTTTCAATATCCGCCAGTGGTATTTTTTTTTCCGGTTTTTAAATACTAATAAGGAAGTAGTGCCTTGAGCTTTTCGATTTCTCAATAAAACTTAAGATTTTGATAATTTTTATCCAATTTTGGGGAACAGCATCTTTTCTAATCCATTTTATTGTATTGAATTGTGTTTAAAGAGAGCGGGTAATTTGTGCTTTATAAAAGGATATTCCTCTCTATTTTGGATTTATCGAAATCTTTCAGAATTCGACAATTTTTATATTGTATTCCCGTGAATCCTATTCTAAAAAATTTCACACCTATGCGTCTTTAAAAGTATAATAAAAGAAATACACCGTGTGTGATCTCCCCTAACCTTTCTCGAATATTCTTTTATAAAGCAACGGGGGATGGCAACTCGAGATATAGACATGATATTTTATCCATTTTTTATTTCTTAAGATTTTTAAAATAGAATAGAATCTCGTAAAAAAAAAGAATTGTGCACCAATTGAATGCCAAACAAATTGTGTATAATTCACATGCTTTTTATGAGAAATGGAATATAGCGTAAAGTATTAATTCCGGCAAACGCATATTACTTTCTCGTATACACAGTATAGAGGAAGTATTGAAATCTCGCACAAAAATCACATTAAATTTTGACAGTTTTCACCATTTTACACCTCAGGACTTCGTAATATACTAAGTATAGGGGACTTATTTTTATCAGGCAAAATAATAAATCCAGATTTATCAAAATTTAGGCGTTTTATGCGTAGTAGAGAGGAAAAACTGGGTTTCGCAATTCTGTGCGTATATCTGTGTGTGTATGTGTGTCTGTGAAGATGATAACTTGCGTACCGTTACAGCTAGATTGATGAAATTACAAATATCAGTTTTATATCAAATTTGTAGTACTGTATCAACTTTTCAGCGATGTCCGGCAACCGGAAGAGGAACTTATTCTACTTTCGATTGTTTAAAATCCTATAACCTGAGTACGGTTATAGATAGATAAATGAAATGTCACATATAAGTAAAAGATACTATTATCCGAGTTCATTCAGTTTTTGAAAAATTTCCTTTGATCGGAAGTAGTAATCTATATTCTTCGTTAACGAGAAAGTAAAAACATCTATTTCTCTAGTAACCATTCCATGTAGTGTTATATAAGAATATTCGAGAAAGTTTAGGTAAGGACACTCCCTGTTTATTTTCATTTCGCTTCTTCCTAGTTGACGTCTTATATATCATGTATGATTTTTCCTGACCATTTCAGGTTTTGTATAGTAGCATACAGCGCTGACATACTAAGCACCAACTACGGCAAGTCTTGGGAGAAGGAAATACAAAGGTTGGAGGAAGACGGGCTTTGGTCACGGCACTGTAAGGTCCTGATACCAAACTTCTACATCAACACACGTGGGGTCGTGGACGTCTTACAGGTGGCTTAGTGGAGTCATTGACGAGGGGGGCGGGTACCAAATGTTTACATCAGCAACCGGGGGGGTGTGGACGTCTAACATGTGGCTTAGTTGAGTGATTGACTCCTTACGGGAAGCTTAGTAGAGCCATTGGTATCTTGCACGTTATTGAGTTGGGAGAGGGGGGGGGGGTTGTAAGGTCCTGATACCATATGTTTACATCAACATACAGGGGGGGGGGGGGGTTGTAAGGTCCTGATTCCAAACTTCTAAATCAACATACGGGCTGGGGGTTGTAAGGTCCTGATACCATATGTTTACATCAACACACGGGAGGGTGGGGTGTTGTAAGGTCCTGATACCATATATTTACATCAACACACGGGAGGGTGGGGTGTTGTAAGGTCCTGATACCAAACTTCTACATCAACACACGGGGGGTTGGGAGTTGTAAGGTCCTGATACTAAACTTCTACATCAACACACGGGGGGGTTGGGAGTTGTAAGGTCCTGATACCAAACGTCTACATCAACACACGGGGGGTTGGGAGTTGTAAGGTCCTGATACCAAACTTCTACATCAACACACGGGGGTTGGGGGATTATAAGGTCCTGATACCATATGTTTACATCAACACACGGGGGGAGGGTTGTAAAGTCCTGATACCATATGTTTACATCAACACACGTGGGGATGTTGTATGGTCCTGATACCAAACTTCTACGTCAACACACGAGATGTCATTAGTAGAACTTATTGACGGGTTTGAGTGGCTTTGTACATCTCAAGTGGTGTTTTTATAAATTATCTTTCTCTGTTTATTACATTTAAATACTTTATAATAAAATATATATTAGCGTTGTCGTACACAATGCCCTTAACTTCAACTAGCAGAAAGCTACGGTATTTAATATGCTCGAGTTACACTTGTTCTTACTTGACAAAATCTTGGTAAAACACCCAACACTTTTTTCCAGGGCATTATTTGTAAAGTACGTTTAATTCTAGTTGATTAAACAAGTTTTTTTTTATTTTTGACGTTGTTTTTGTTCTAAAACATTGTGTACCGCTTGTTCTGGAGACAGATCTGAATGTTCCATTTTAACCTGCTGTGTTTGAGTCTTGAAAAATACCTCAAGTCTTGCATTAAACAATAGATATTCTGGTTACATTGATGTCACTGTCCAGCAATCCACGCATTTTGATCCCCTCTGTATGTAAGTATTCCCTTAAACTGGACATATAAACAATCCGTTCCATTTTCGTATTTGACGAAACCCGGGCTGACAAAGCTTGTTGGCTGGGGACACCCACTCATCTGATAGAAAATACCTTAAATCTGCCGTAGCAGATTGTCCTTGGTGTGGCCTAGCGGTAGAGCTATAATATGCTAACTCGAAAGTCTCGAGTTCGAATCCGGATTCAAGCTGATGTAGACATTGTGGTGAAACAATTTGGAGGTGTTTTTTCATGATGATGATGGTTAAGATTGTTGTGACATTGGCTGTTGTCGATAGTTGTCATGTTTTATAATTGTCAAAGTTAAAAAATGTTTTCAGAAATAAAGTTGATTTGTATACCTGAAACAGGTTCGAATGAAGCACACTTTGATCTTTATAAAAAAAACTGTCAAAAATCTCATAAAGGGGTTTGTACCCGTAAATAATTTTTCTATTGAACATTTACCACCTGAAAACCTTGACAACGTCCTGTATGACCTCGTTAAAGCCCAGGTTGACCTAAGCGTAAGGATAGTCGTTCAGTTGACAAGTGAAGACAGACCAGAGCTTGTACCAGACACTAACGATCCATGTCCTTGCTACAACAATAGGGGACAGAACTTACAAAGGGCAGGGACTGGGAGGGTTTTGAAAGTGACCATTTACACAGGGATAATATGGGCTACAAAACTTGTCCATGTCCTAAATGTGACCATTCGGACACAGCCAGACAATGTTTGTGGGAGGTTGATGTACAAACAGCCAGACATGTGTTTTTTGATGATAAGGAGGCGAGACAATCCAGCTGTAGGTCGTGGTTTGATGACGATAAAATCCAGTGGTCAACATTTATGGGTGGATGGTGGGTCGGTCAGATATTGAAAAAGACTGGTGTAGTATGTTTTGTGTGACACTTGAACAAGTAATAGGTGTAAACGTGGAGAAGATGGTCAGGCGGTTTCGACGCCTTTTGATGGAAATGCGTGACAAATAAAAGAGTCGTAGAGATGTGGACAAGCTGACCATTATAGTGTCACATCATAAAGGCTGTTCTAAGCAGCTCTCTGTAGGTCATTGAGTCAACATAAAGGAGATGGAAGGTACCTGTCCAGGTAGCAGTGGGGCTCAGGTCTCGGGTGTGACTGGTCTCTCCATCAACAAAGCGGAACTAGCACGAACCCAAAGATGGCAGAATTAAATTATTGTGGACTGGAATATGACCCACATTTTTAGTATCTACGTTTGTGAATAATGTAAACAGACATGGCGTTTAGTGGTTGTAATAATAACACAACAATAATGCATGTGATAATGCTACTAAGCTATTGAAAGATTTTTTTTTATTTTTTAAACTTATATTTGTATAAATGGTTTTCGATTGAGAAAAAAAAAGCTGTGCTTTAAAAAATCAATGAATAACAACATGGACGTGTTTTGTTATGTTTTTGTCAAGAATTTCATCCCTTCTCCCTGTGAGCTCTCTTTCTAACTACATTTACACACGAAACAACCAATCTTTTCCTAGTTAACGAGAAGACAACAATATACCATATGTAAAGCTAATACTACGTTAACATTTTGCCCCTGTAAGAGATGCCCGCACTGTTTTACGGGTATTAGCAGACATACGTTCAAGGGGTAGCTAGCGGTTATTAACCACAGCCTGATCTTGTAGCTCATAGCACGGACACGATTTATATCTCAGAGATTGGCATTGGCAAGTTTTATTACCAAAGGAATATTCTTTGTGTAATAATTTTGTTTTTGGGGCTTTATCTTGTCGGCTAACAAGAAGACAAAAGGCTAGATATAAACTGATTTTTATAAATTGCAATTTAAACATAAGGAATATCTGTATTCACTGAACGCCAAAGTTATCAATGTCTACTAGCGCTTGTTCTTTAGTTAGGCTGAGCTAAGCAGGTCTCTGTAGGTCATTGGGTACTCAGTCAGTTGGTGGATGGTGTCACGTTTTGGTACACCTGCACAATTTTTACTTGTCCATGTAACAGTGAGACTCACGTCTATAGACATGGATCTGCACACGCGAATAGAAGTGTTATGTTTTGTCTTGCTAGTTATTGTTACATGCCGTGTTAGTTATAACGTCAGTTTTATAGCAAATAACATGGTTATTTCCCTTGAGAGTGATCGGAGTGTGTACAATCTGTAAGTAACTGGAGATTAAACATGTTTGTTGAAGACTGTTCTCTGAATACTTAATAAAGATAATGCAATTACTTGACTTATTACGTTTAACAGAATGACAACATTGGAGATAAACTTTGTTTTATAGAGCTCCACATGTGGTGAAAATTGAAACATTGAACTGTCATTTACAAAGCTTATTTAGTTATACATTAACCTGTTGGGTTACATGGCAATATTAATTAGTTAAACGGTTAATGTTAATATTAAAATGTTATTTAAACGATTAAAAAAGGAAACAAAAATAAAAAATATAAACTGTGTATTTTCATTGCAAGCAATAGCAAACGTGACAAGGTCGACAATCGTGTTTTGCTATTCCACAGTTAAATCTAAGTGCTGTCCCTTATTTTACCCCATGTTTGGCCTCAGTGCTAGCTAATACTTATTGTATCATTCTCATGTATGTCGTATCATGCTACAGGTCACTTATACAATATATTCCTCCTACTTAAGTTGTTATTTTTACTGTTTTTCAATAGATTTTAAACTTTATCTGGTGTAGAATTGTTTACTGTCGTCTGCTGCACATGTTGCATTGTGTCGCCATATTATTTTTGAGTATCTCGCTCACAGATAAATTTAAAAAAACAACAAAGGCCAAGAGTTTTTGTCAATGTAAATACTTATTTTTATTACAAATATTTAAAGAAAACACCAATTCAAAATAAGACGTATAAGAACATGAAGTTTATTTAATTCAACAGTTCAAATTTATGATATAAAAAACACTACATAATTATTTCCATTTTTAATCGATTAAGCCTTAAGTCAATATCTGCTCAAGAATTTTAAAAATGTACGAATAAGTAATCGAAATGTTTTTTTTTTTTAAATTTCAGTTTACTAAATGATTTAAATTTGTATTCTTTCGGAAAATCTTAAATAAACAAACACAACACCGAAGATTTTGAAAAAGACAAAACTAGCACCAAAGAAGGTACACCTTTGTAATTTCAAATATACATGTATATATGAATGTTACTATGTCCTGTTTGAATAGGTGTCAATTTGGCCATTGACTCCGATTTCAGCCTGCTTTTCTTTTTGGATTTGCTTCCATAGCCTTTGTCCAACCAAGAACAAACTAAATATTTAACAATAATTGATTTTTTACAAGCTTTTATTTAACTCATTTCCTCTGTCTGTCTGTCGTCAGTCTGTCTGCCTAGATCGAAACGCCCTAGCGAAATTGCAGGGACTTATACCTGATAGATACGGTTCGTAATTGGTACATGGGTCTAGACATGAAGACAATGCATCGTGAAATTAAATTTGACTTAATTGGATGCCTAATTAATTTGTATGAATTAATTAAAAATTAGTAGGCAGTTCTATCCAACTACTCAACACGCGTCACCACGTTCAATACCGCGTCATCACGTTTAATAGGAGCGCAATGGTAACTTTATTGTAAATAAAAACATGTAAAGTACTAAAAAAAATTCATAAAAAAATGTTTTAATAACAAGCTTTTACGTAATAATACACTAAAAAGTAGAAAATAAATGAGTTTATTTAAATTTATAGTAATATAAACACGTGGAGGCCCATGTTTATTTTTTTCGTGGAAACCATTTTAAGAGAATTTTTCAAAAAGT